ATTTCAAAATGAAATTTAATTAATTTAAAATAATTCAGAATAAAAATTTAATTTAATTTAATTTAATTTAATTTAATTTAATCTTTTTTTAGCTTCAGAATTGTTTGATAATGCAGAATTAAGATCAGGATCTTTACCTCATGAAAATGTCTGTACCGAAAATTTGACTCCTTGGATTAAACTTTTACCTTGTAAATCTAGGGTAAGGTATTTCTTTATTCTATTTTTTTATTTTTTTTTTATTTTTTTCTTTGAATCTTGTAATATAATAATTATTATGTAATCTTTTTTTTGATTCATTTTAAAAAGTCTGGTATTGCATCACTTTTGAATGGACATAAATTATATGATTCTAATTTTCATTCAATGTCAATTCATGTTCGACCATTGTGTGAGGTATTTATTTATTTATTAATTTATTTATGATTTACAAATCTAATTATATTTAAATTTTTATTATAATTATATATATTTTTTTAGGATCCAGAATGTTTAAGTCAACAATTAGAAATATTACAAACAGTTTCTACAGTTGTTGATCCTGTTAGGGTTTCAGGCAAAAGAGGTTGGTTGATGATAATCTATGATATATGAATAGTTAATTCTATTCATTACATTTTTATTATTATTTATTATTTATTGTTTATTATTTATTATTTATTATTTATTATTTATTTATTATTTTATTCATTTTATTTATTATTATTTATATTATATATTATATATTATTTTAGTCTAGATTCAAATTATTGGTGTAATATCAGTAGATTTTTGAATCATTCATGTGATGCGAATTTAGTCACTATTCCAGTAAGTTATAATTATGATATACAATAATTATTTTTATGTGATTATGTGATTATGTGATTATTGAGTATATTCAATTTTTAATTTAATTAATATTTTTTCACCATTTTCGAATTTACTAGTTTTTCGTAGAACATAAAGATATCCGTTTTCAAAGAATTGCATTTTTCGCTCAACGTGATATACCGAAAAATTCAGAAATTACTGTTGATTATAAAATTCACGATGATGATTTTGTATGTTTGTGTGGCACGAAATATTGTAGGTAATGTATCAGCTCAGCTATTTCATATTTGATATTTTGTATAATATTATATACGCGTGATATTTTATATTGTTTGATATTAAATGAATGCAAGTGTATTTCATAATTTTTAAGTGACTTGGCATTAAATTTGTAATGTAATATTTTTATGTTTGTTATTATATCTGTTCATATTATCTATCTATCTATCAGACATTATCTGTTTATCAAAGAAGATCATCCATTGTCAATTATTATAATGACCAATTTATATATATTGAAATTAATTAATTTATTATTTTATATTTTGTAGTTATAACAAAAAAATTGAGTAATCACAGATTAACCCAATAACATGCAATATTATATATGTTACTGATGAAGATCATAGCTTTGGTTGTCCACCCTTACAACCCTACTATAATCCAGTGGACAACCAGTATGACTGGTTTTGATTTTTTCGAAATTGTTCCTCCATTATCATATCACACATATGTT